CAAGGTACTTTATAGACATCAAAGACTAAGAAATTACATATTTTTTATAATCTCAATGCAATGGCATAACTTTTAAATCACCAAAATGAATACAAACACAATGTAATGCTTTCTTCTCATTATTTCAGACTATTTTTGAAAGAATTCTTTTAAACATTAGAAATAAAAAATTCCATTTTGCTTTGAGAACTGAATTTAAATATTAGTATAATAATTTTGAAAAAGCTAAATGTAATTATTGTTGCAGATATCAAACACTTTAGCAAATAGATATACCTATTCTTCACTGTGAAAATAACTTTTGTTAGAAAATTTTTCATTTTTATGCTGCTTCATAAAGAACAATGGAAATTTAAAGAAAAAAGGTAAAAGGGGAGAATATTAAGGTAGAAAATGACCTACAAATACCTGAAAAGAATTAGAACCAGAGAAAAGATATGTATAAAAATCTCTCTCACATTCTACTGGTTTATCGATGACGGGGTATACTAGTACAGGAGTAGTGGACATAAATAAATCTGTTTATAAGCATGTTTACTAAAAAGAGGAATCTATAACTGTCTCAACTGTTTAAAACTCATAGCTGCTTGCTTCAAAGACAGAGACAGGTATTTCCATTTTAACTTCCACTTGCTATTTTTTTTATTTCAAAAGAAATTAAGAACTTTGTGAATAATTTAATTATAAATACAAGTATTATTAGTATGAAAAGTATTATCCTTAGTAGATGCAATAGTTAAGGTGTCCAAAAATAAATGGAAATTTCCCCCAAAATAATTTTCTCACTGAAAACCAGTCCTTTTCTCCATTCAACACGTTATAAAGGAATAAAAAATAAACCTAACGAGCCTTTTTGAATACAACATCATACATGTTAAAGAATGAGGTTAAGGACAAAAGATAATAAGGCATGTTAAACATGCTCAGAATTTTTTCTGCCACAATTTTGAAGGGAAATTTCCCATAGACGAGCCGTTTTCTACAAGTAATATAAAAATACACATTTAGTAGTCTCCTCTAATATGCTTAACGCACTTTGGAAATGCCCTTGGGTTTAGAATTAAAATTACTATTTGACATTTTACAAAATTTCAAACAGTATATTTGAAATAATGCTGAGAATTACACTTATCCATGATGTGGGACTATAATATAGCTGTGACTGTGATATAACATATCTTTTAGGAATTTTCCAAACTTGGATAAAGCCTAGCCTTAAGTAAAATCTTCTGAGAATAAGCTAAATTACCTGAATTTCCAGGTTTTTATTAAAAAGAAAAATAAAGGTTTAATCTTAAGTTCAACTATAAGCAATGTTTCTTCAATTCTTCATATGAATTAAGATATTTTAAAAATTACTTACAGTAAATATCCGTCTGCCAGTTCTATCAAAAGTTACACAGTACACAGACGACAAATGTCCAAGAATTCGTTTATGCATTTTCATGTGCTGATATACTGCAGTTGGAACAAGTCGCTCAAGCCTGTATTTCCCATTCAGCCTCCTTGAAAACAAAGTATCCGCTACCAAGAAAAAGAAGAAAAATATTTATAAATCATATTTTTCTTATTACCTCTTAAGAATTCACATATTCTAATTTCTCATATGTTGATAATAACAATGCTTTCTAATGTACATGGCTCCTAGTTAAAGTCTACAAAACAGTCATAATAAAAACACTGAAATTCGGTGAGTTAGGCACTTTTATCCTCCTTTTACAAAGAACGAAATTCAATTAAACGACATGTCCAAAGTCACAAGATAAATATGAAGGTAGAGTTTAAACTCAGGCTTTTCTTTGTTCAGTTTTAGTTTCATTTTTTATGATATTTCTTTAAATTTCTCTATGAGATAGGTTTTCTTGTAAAAGCAGTCAAACTGAATCCATCCAGTAATTTTTAGTTTTTATCATCCAGCAATTCCTAAACACACTAAACTTGACATGCCAAAATAATGCTTTTAAAAACTTTACAAATGAAGACAGAAGTATTCAGTTTTATTTTTAAAAATTATAATTAAACTGGTTATCTTGACAAACAACTGTATAGTGAGTGATTCCTTCTCTATTTGCTCTTTTTCAACTAACCCATTTTAACTATCTTTTAAACTGAAATTTACTTCACTACAGCACAAAATGTTCTCTCCCAACTAAATTATGACTGTACTTACCTTCTATATTGATAATTTGAACAAAAGATGTTCTATAAACATATGCTGACTGATCAGCAGGCACATTATTCACCTATATATTTTTTTAATATAAAGCTTTATTTCTAACCGTGACATCTAGTAAGCACTAAATGGGATAGTAAGGACTATAGTTTCTCACTTGACTTTAGTCCCAAAGATAATTAAATACATATAAAAATGCTATTTAAACTAGATTTAGAGCCTCGCAATTATTGGCAAGGCACAAATATCTCAGTTATAGTGTACATAATGCCAGTATTTTTTAATACACAATATAATACATGTTTGTATATTTAAAGTATTTGTGTATTTGAGAGCAAAAAATAAAAAAATCTTGGCGACTGGTGAGATTTAAAGAAGAATATTTTCAATATTTCAAGAAATAATTACATTATCCTTATGTTCTTTTACTGTATCAATCATTTTAACTTCTAACTAGAGGCCCGGTGCATAGATTTGTGCCCCGGTGGGGTCCCTTGACCTGGCCTGAGGACATTCCCCAAGGGTTCCTGGGTTACAAGAGGGCGGATTACAAGAGGGCGCAGGTCAGGCCAAAGAACCCCACAGATGCACAACTGGGACCAGGCAGGGACCACAGGAGGGCTCCAGGGCGTGTCTGGCCTGTTTCACCCAGTCCTGATTGGCTGGACCCCAGCCGCAAGCTAACCTACGGGCCTAAGCATCTCCCCCTGGTGATCAGTACATGTCATAGCAACTGGTCCAACAGTCACTTAGCATATTAGACTTTTATTATGTAAGATAAGATAGATTATCTCTCCTGCTGTAAACATATAAATTCTATACAATAATCTATTTCAACCTCTATGAATATCTAAGACAAGCTTTAACAGCTATGAATTAGTATATTTAGGCTTAAGTTGGTTATACAGTGATTCAATAAGTTCTAATAAGGCCTGACACATCTTTCCTTCTATACAAAATGGCCTGGTAAAAGACGTCCTCCAGTGCTTTGGTTCCAAACTGATTTAGAACAGGCATCACATAAAAACACAGACATCAACCGTCTTGCCAAACTATAATGCAAACACTTATCCAAACACTAAGAATCAATGATATTTCTGTAAGAAAATAAGTGATGACATATATCACAAACACTGACAGCGTTACAAAAACATAGTTTAATTCCCTCCCTCCAAAATTTAAAAAAATTCTAAAAATGTTAAATTTTATTAAAATATTTAACATTGTTGAGAGATTATATATATACGTATTTCTGTACCAGGTCACTGATAATATGTCTATTTACATGCCAGTACCAAAATTTTAACTTTATACCTAATGATGTATTAATATTTATCCAGATATTTTACTTTATTATGTGCCCATTTTGAAATGTCTTAGTCTTGATTATTTATTATCTAATTTGAGGATCACTAAAACGTTTTTAAGACATCAATTTGTTGTATATGTGTATAACCCATGGTGAAGGCCTAAGTGGGCCTGGGTACGGTCAATGGAAGAAAAGAGAGGACATCTATAATACTTTTAACAATAAATATAACTGCAAAAGAATCAACATGTTGAAAATATAGCTTTAATTTCACTTATAAACAATAGACACCTTTCTATCCAGGAACATGACACTTTCTTCCTATAGCTGGGACCAAGTTTTTAACGGAGAAAATTTTGGAAAAAGATAACCACAAAGTTACCATAGTTTTTCTCACTATACAAATCTGTACCATTTGAACTAAGTTTCCTGGGGGGTAAATGATTAGCATCTGCAATAACCACAGTAACTACATTTTTTAGGACATTAGAAAAATACATAATAAAGTCTCTGCAAGTAAGAATGAACATAAAGCAGAAATACCATAACTCCCCTCTTCTAAATTTTCTTCTCCTTCTGTTAAGCACTTTGCAAAATCAACAATGACACATGGTGCGATTGCAATAATTTATCTAAGATCAAAATTAACCTCATTGTTTAAAAAGATGAGTTAAATATTTAAATTACTCTGAATTAACAAAAATGCAGAGGTTTTTTAAAGTTTTTTAACTGTTAACAATATAATATGCTATAAAATGTCTACTACAGTGTAGGAAAGCTGTTCCCCCTTAACAATCAGAACTGAAGGGTCCCAGAACTAGTGCCTATTAACTTGTATGAGCTCATGAAATCAAAGCTCTGGAGAAAGTATAGTCAATACAAAAAAGCGTGTGGCTGTCAGATCCAAAAACCTGAAAACTAATTTTTGTACCAGTACCAGAATTGAATAGGATGCAGAGAAGCTAAAATATGTAACTCAGAAGATATTTTAGTATACATGGGCTCTTTTCTGATTACTAAAATTAAACAGGAAGCAGAGAAGACAAAATATGTAACTCAGAAGGTATTTCAGTACAATGTGGGTTCTTTTCTGATACAGAAAAAGGGATACTCAGGTCAAAAATAACACCAGAGTACTTTACTAAGAGTATTTCTATTAATTTCTATTAAATTCATTTTTGTACTATATTTTAACTTATTGTATTTTGTGAGTCTACTTAAAGGAAGGACCTGAAAAGCTCCCTAAGTTTCTGAAAATAAAATGCAAAAGTAGCTATATCTTATAATCAATAACCATATAAACAATTCCTAAGTTAAAGTACAAAAGATAAATTCTGAATAATCAGTACCTAGGTTTCTTTTTCATCTCCATGGTCTGTGTTAATAAATGTTTTCTAAATGTAAGATTAATACAATGGCTAAACTCATAACTATAAAACAAGAGTTTGGGAACCCATAAAATTAAACTTTAGTAAACTACATTAAAAAAAAAAACCTTTAGGCATGCGCATGCTCTTCCGCAGCGGCCCACTGGAGGTAGGGGAGATTAGCTGCTGCCATGGAGGACCCAGCGACGCCCGGAGGGTCTGAAGGGGTCCCTGGAAACCAAGTTCCTTCGGCGACCCATCCGAGAGGAGCCCTGGTGGAGCTCACCCCGAACCCCGCTGGCCTGGCCCTGGTGAGCCCCTACCTCACCCACCGGGCCGGGGACCCCTTGGACCTCGTGGCGCTCGCAGAGCAAGTACAGAAGGCTGATGAATTCGTCCAGGCAAATGCCACCAACAAGCTAACAGTGATAGCTGAGCAAATCCAGCATTTGCAAGAACAAGCCAGGAAGGTATTAGAAGATGCTCGCAGAGATGCTGACTTGCACCAAATAGCTTGTAATATAATGAAAAAACCTGGCAACATTTACTACCTTTATCAACGGAAGAGTGGTCAGCAGTATTTTTCTATTATTTCTCCAAAGGAATGGGGAACGAGTTGTCCACATTCCTTCATTGGTGCTTACAAGCTACAGCATGACTTGTCCTGGACTCCCTTTGAGGACATTGAGAAGCAAGATGCTAAAATCAGCATAGTGGACAAGTTGCTAAGCCAGCCAATGGCCCTGCCTCCAACACCTGACCTCAACTTCCAGGGACTGCCTCCCTGAAAATGGACTGTGACAACAGTTCTCAGGGCAAGGACCTGTCACCTCCTTGTTGCTCTCATTCTCTGCCCTGATGGGAGGTGGCAGGAGAATTGAGGATGTGTAAGTGAATCATGAACTTCTTGGAAGGAAAAAAAAAAAAAAAAAAACTTTAGTAAACTTTTATAAAGCAAGACCATATAAAAATAAATTTCAAACTAATATGCCCTTTAGATGGGCTATACCCCCTATGGATACTCAAGTCCCTTATATAAAGTAGTATGGCATTTGCATGTATATTTTAAGTTGCCTCTATATTAATTGTAATACCTAATACAGTGTAAATGTTATATAAGTATTGTACTATTTAGTAAATAATGACCAAAAAAAAGGTCTGGTCATGTTCAGAACATGTTCAGTATAGATACAACCATCATAGACTTAACATTTTTTTTCAAACATGGATTTTTGATCCATGATTGGTTAAATTCATGGATTCAGAACCCACACATATAATGCGTGTACTGTATTTTCCCCCACAAAATAATGCTACATCGATGATCAGGAACTAAGAGGGCAATTTCTAATTAAATAAAAATGACCTTTCAAGCTCATTCCAAATCCCAAAAGTTGTCTATACACACACACACACACACACTATATGATTCCAGAATTCCTATCAGACAAATATACTGTGTGGTATAAAGTATTAAAGGCATAGAATTTTATTCATTTAAAGAACCACAGCCCTCACTGGTTTGGCTCAGTGAATAGAGCACCGGCCTGTGGACTGAAGGGTCCCAGGTTTTATTCTGGTCAAGGGCATGTACCTCAGCTGCAGCTGATTGCTGTTCTCTCTCATCAAAGTTTCTAACTATCTTTCTCTCTTCCTCTAAGTTAAAAAAAAAAAAAAAAATCTATATAAAAAATATATTTTTTTAAAAAAAGAAAGAACCACAAAAAAAATATTCTAATGAAAAGGAGATATGACTGTGGGGGTCAAAAAATTGCTATATAATTCACTGAAAGAGAAGTTTGATAAAGCCAAAGTCAAATGGCTATGAAAAAGAGAGAAGTCACTAGGGCTGACAGCTAGAAAGAGACTCTTATTAGAAAGACCTGAAGAATCTGATGAAAGAAAAAGGCTTATCTATAACAATTATCAATGTGGATAAACTTCAAAATACAATACACAGTGTGGGGAGAAAAAGGACTATAGAACACGAATTCCATGCACTGGGCCTCTAGTCTCCAATAAGGAAACTAAGGACAAAATTTAACTTTCCCATAGATAAAGCCCAGGTTTGAATTCATAGTCTAATTCCAAAGAGCACAATCTTACTATGCTGCCTAGGAAGACAACTATTAGGAAAAACGACTGAAAGAAAACATACCAAAGTACTAATAACAGATAAACAGTGAGACTGACTGATATTTGAGCTGTTCTTGTTTTACAAGTTTTCTCCATTGAGCATATATTCATTCTGCTTGATTTTTTAATTAAAGTATAGTTCAATATACTGCATGGAACTCATAAAAGCAATATGAAAAATCTAAATTGTCTAAAGAGATTAACTTATATTCAAAATCTGAGAAAAATAGGTCCACAGATAAAGATGTAAGGAATTTAAGTTTATTTAACCATAAAAAGGAAATTAAAAATTGAGTATATTATACTAACTGAATTATGTACTATACCACAGAGCATAACCATGGCCTACTCGACAATGTATTGAATGATATGCTACAAAGAATTCACATCAGGTTTGATTAAAAAACCATCCTATATAAATAAAAAGCCAATATGCAAATTGCCCCCTATATCGAGAGTTCCACCAGGGGGCTGAGCCAGCCCATCAACTGCCTTCGGCCCTTCCTCCCAGGTAGCCGCCCCCCAATCGGCCCCCACCCTGATTGGGGTGTGCCATGCCAGTAGGACCCACCCATGAGCAAATTCGTGCACCAGGCTAACAATTTTATTTATAAGTTTTGTTTCTAATACATCACAGATACGATAGTTTAGATTCAATTTAATTTGGAAAGGAATTGTATAAGGAGAAACTTTTAATGTTTAATTCACTAGAGCCAACTGATATGCTTGCCACAATAATTTTTCTGAAGTTACTAGCCAGAGATAATCTGGGAAATAATTCAACACAGACTGATTTATTTCTATAGCACCATCTGATCTTTATATCACCCTACACCAATAGCTAACAAATGACCAACATAGGAAAAAGACAAATTTATAACTATAATATACAAAAGTCCCAACTTTAAAGTAGAGGAGGTTGCAACATTAAAAGGATAATCCTGATAATTCTGTAACCAACTTTTTGCCTGCTCCTCTCCCCCTAAAAAAAAGGTGAAGGGAAAAAAGAATGGGTGAGTAAAGGAAAATAATCACCTGGGCAACACTATACCCATAAAAGCTTCTCTCATTTTGCTACTGAAACTAACAATTACTATGCACACTAGCTATCCTCCCAATCTCTGCATAATCAATTTTGATATTTAGCTGTACCTCTTGTTTGAAAGATACCATGTTTGTCTGAAAAAAAGAACACAAATACTGCCGAAACCGGTTTGGCTCAATGGATAGACCGTCGGCTTGGGGACTGAAGGGACCGGGGTTCGATACCGGTCAAGGGCATGTACCTTGGATGCGGGCATATCCCCAGTAGGGAGTGTGCAAGAGGCAGCTGATCAATGACTCTCTCTCATCAATGTTTCTAACTCTCTATCTCTCTCCCTTCCTCTCTGTACAAAATCAATAAAAATAAAAAAAAAGAACACAAATACTAACTGAAATAAAATATAGAAAGCAATGATTCTAAAAGTTAAAAAATATCATGAACAAAGTACATAACAAGCACTAAAAACAAAACAGACGTTACAATTACTAGGATTGTAACTTACTAAAATTGTATAATTACTTGGTTTGTATTATTCTGTCTCTTTTCTTCCCTGGAAACTAGTCTGATGCTGCTTCAAACAGAAAATAATATAACATTTTAAGTTTTAAACATTTTATGTATTTTATAATTCTTTAGAAAAACTTATTTTTAAAAGTGATAGTTTGTTCTATCTCTCTCTCTTCCCAAAAAAATAAATTAATTAAAAAAATAAAATAAAAGTGATAGTTTGCTTGACTGGCATGGCTCAATGGTTGAGTGTTGACCTATTACCCTGGAAGTCAGGGTTTGATTCTGGTCAGGTTACATGCCTGGGTTGCAGGCTCAATCCCCAGTAGGAGGCATTTAGGAGGTAGCTGATCAATGATTCTCTCTCATCATTGATGTTTCTATCTTCCTCTTTGAAATCAATAAAAATTTTATATAATAAAAGCCTAATATGCTTAAGTGTCAGGTCATCCATTCAACCAATCAAAGCGTAATATGCTAATGATATGCTAAAGCTGTTCAACCACTCGCTATGACATGTACTGTTCATAAGGGGGCAGATGCTAAGATAGGTAGGTGTGCTTGCTGCTGAGATCCAGACAACCAGAACTGAGACTGAGAAGGGCCGGACACGCCTTGGAGCTCTCCTTAGCTGGCCAACTTCCCCTGTCCCTCCCCGGCCCTAATTGTGCACCAGTGGGGTCCCTCGGCCTGGCCTGCTCCCTCTTACAATCCGGGACCCCTCAGGATATGTCGGAGAGCCAATTTCAGCCCAATTCCACAGACCAGGCCAAGGGACCCCACTGGTGCACGAATTCGTACACTGGGCCTTTAGTATTAAATATAAGTAAAAGCTAATGTTTTATGCCAAATATATCTTTAAGTTTTTATTTTAGAGAGAGAGAAACAGAAAAGGAGAAAGAGAATGATGTGAAAGAGAAACATGATCCAATTGCCTCTCATAAGCACCCAAACCAGGGAATGCACCAGCAACCTGGGCATGTGCCCTGATAGGGAGTCCAACCGGCAACCTTTAGGTGCATGGGACTATTATGCTCAACCAACTAAGCCACACTGGCCAGAGCTATTTAAAATATTTTAACCATTCATTTCTCAGTCAACAAACATTTTATGGAGTACCTATTTTGGCCAAGTATGGGCTAAGGGATATAACAGAGAAAAACAAAAGACAAAGCACTTACCTCTTAAGAGATTGCAGTCTAGCAAGGAAGGCAGACATGAAACAAGGACTTACAATATTAAGTGGCATCAAACAAAAGGTTTTGGGAAATTCTGAAATATACAGTACAGGGTACTAAACTTTGGGGGGGGGGGGGTTATCTGAGAATCAGAGTAGATTTCTCTGAAACACAACATTTAAACTGAAAAAGTTCAGCTATTTTTTACTGGAAAATGAACAGCAAAAGATAGAAGCATATTCTAGGTCAAGGAAAGAACATGTGCAACGCTCTGAGGCTAGAAATATAGTATTCAAACAACCTAATAAGGTTGTATACTATGGTTAGCATACAGAGGACAGAGAGCTAGGATTCTCAGTTGATCACAGAATCATCTAGATATGCCAAGTTGCATGTGCAATTCCCAGTCAGGGCACATAAAAAAATCAAGCAATGGATGCAAAAAGAAGTAGAATAAAAAACTGGTGTCTGTTCATCTCTCTATAAAATTAATAAAAAAGAGAGACTGAAAAAATAGAGGACATACTACAGAGTATGCATTGTCATAAATTTTGGACTATTTCCCAAGGAAAAGAAATTGAAGGCTTTTAGGAAGAAAGAAGTGCATATCTTGTATAATAAAGTGCTAACATGCTAATTAGACCTAACTGCAGAACAACCATCCAGACAACCTTCCAGACAAAGCTGGGGCTGCAAGGGCTGAGGCAGCCGGGGCTGCGAGGGCCAAGCCCCTTGCATGTATTTTGTGCATTGGACCTTTAGTGATATAGGATAGTTCTGAAGTAATTGCAGTTTAATTTCTTAACTGCAATAAGAATAGACAAGAAGAGATGTGACTAAAAGCAAAAGCTGTTTTTGCAAAAGAAATCAAAGGTTTCCAAAAACAAAATTTCATTTTAGAGGGCACACTACCGAGTACTTTTTAAACTATGGTGAAAAATTTTGGACTATTTCCCAAGAAAA